TTAATTACCGTGCCTGCATTCCAGGCACAAGGTCCAACTCTGTTTACTGTGCATATTGAACTCTGAGGGGTTAACTCTGAATAAAGTGCTTACCACTTAGCGTTTAGGCCCAGCTGACGGGAGCCCGCAGAACAGATCGGTCACAGAGAAACTCTGAAGGCACTTCAGCTGCCTTTAGGATCACTCCTACAATGCGTGTCTGGGATGCTGGGGGCCTCTGGTCCTCCACTGCTGAGTCTAATGAACACATGTGCCGTTTTTCTTTTTCTTCTGTCACAGTCATGGAGCCCAGCTGCTTTGGGGGAAAAACTGGCTGGGAGCGAGGGACGACACACTCATTAACAAGCCACAGATTGGTTGATTAGAATAAAATCAGTCAAGGGCACCAGGTGACAGTTTTAGTTCAAGGAATTTGTCATCTTAATTTAGGACTAAGATTTAAGCACCAACCGTCCAGGGTGTATCCCGCCTCTAGCCCATTAACTACTGGGCTAGGTTCCAGTTCCCCCGCGACCCCATTAGGGAATAAGCGGTTACGAAAATGGATGGATGGATTTAAACAACACTTTCCTGCATAATTTAGTGTTTCGTTATTGTTTATGGATGATTCATGAATCATTAATTAAATTCAAGAAAACACCAATATACCAACGTTTTGCTTAATTTCATTCGATTCTGTCTGTTCTGTTCATATCAGTCTCATGTCTTTTTGTCTCTTTGAGTTTTGTTTCACATTTTTTGTCAGACAAAAGGTGGGAGCTATCTTGCAGATTCATAGTTACACTTATTATCGTCATTAAGACGGCGTATTTTGGGTAATTTTCCTAAGTGTTTCATTTATATCACAGAGAAAATATCCACCAGGCTAAGTATGATTGAATCAATGCCAATTGCTGCTGTATCAGCCTGTAGTGTCTTGGCTTAAATTAGGATTCCTGCTCCCAGGGAAGAAGCTGAACAAACACTGGAACTCCTCATCCAAGAAAAAAAAAAAAGAGAAAGATCTATTGGAAGGAGGAATTTCTTCCTGATCAATACGAGCAGGCTGGAGAGCACTCATCACACTCAAGTACAAACCTCCCAAGAAAAAGGTGGAGCTGCATTTGAGGAGAAATGGAGTGTCGCCATGGAAACCAGTCATCTGGGACCAGTCAGTGTGGGAACATGAGAACACAAGACTCAAAAGGTTTAGTTTCAAGTTCTGGAGTTTGATAAAGGAGAGAATTAACATACGCCTTTTTGTTTCTTTTTCAGCTTCATTCGTGGCGATTCTTCATTTCTAAGACATGAATTTTACCTTCTAAATGGCAAAGTGAAAAAAAGTTGAGGAGGTAACAGTTATCTGGACAAGGATTTCAGTGTTTCTCAAGATTATTTAGGAAGAAAAAGCTGTGTCAAGAAGGAGCTGGGCCGGGGCTGGGTCATTGCACTCGTATTGGGACCTGCTGATCCTGCAGATTATCAGTGAATTGGTTAGAAAAACGATTGATTGTTGATTGTTTTTAGGGTCAGAATGAGAACGACATTTTTTGATTAAAGAAAACTTTTGTTCAGATGAGCATGATTTGTAAACAGAAATGGAGTAACATTGAAGAACCAACTTCACATAAAATTAGCATTCGTTCTGGTCAACATGGAAGAACACGAAACGAGGATATAAGTGACCAAAAGCCTTTAGTCATAGAGCCTGTTATGACTGTTTGAGATAAGATGAACAGGGTTTGAGTTCTCATGAAGGTGAAGTCATAATCTGGAAGAACTACAAAAACCCGAACCCAAAATGTCTATGCCAAAATGTTTTCTTTTTTCTTATGAATCACTCCTAAGAGAAGATTGCTAAAGTTACACAGACAGGTCGCTTTTAAGGCTGTGCAGACAGGAAAAACTATCAAATGAAAAAAGGGGTTTCTTCACTTAACTTAAAGAAATCTGATTATCATAGCAAGATATTTATGGGCTGAAGGATGTTGGGCCGTGGTGCGACCAACAAAGCTGCTGTTAGAAAAAAAACAAAAAAAGCCCATCTCAAATGACTTTTGTAAGAATTACAAACTTGACCTTTTGTGTTGCTTTCTCCTCTCTGGTTTCAGGTTTGTTGTGCCCCATTGTTTTCTTCTTCCGCTTCTTCCCAGGAAAGACATTGCGTTGCACAACGTGTCTTGTCAGGAAATCGTAATTGGTTTGTTCTGCTTGCAGAAGGTCTCTGTGAAATGGAAAATAAAACGTGATGTAGCAAGGACGTGCACATCTTTCCGTGAACCGGTGGCATGAGCATTTCACATCTGACATTTCATTTTTGATTCAGTGGATAAGAACCAGCTTTGAAATGTTTTCACCCTATGAAACTGGTGAACTTTCAAAGGAAGAGGATTCATAAACCCCCCTCTCAGACGTTAACCCGTCATAAAGCGCTGCGCGGAAACTTTATCCTGCAAAAGGAGCAGATGGTTTGAGTAGAACCAACCAACACTACAAAGTGTAATGTTGCAATTAAATTAAATTAGGAGACATCAGAGCCTGTGCTCACCCTGTTGCTTAAAGAGATTATGTGGCTGTATTTGTTGTGTGATGTGCTAATCGCTTTCATTTTCAGTAGGTTTTTAAAGCGGCAGATGTGATCTGAAACATTCTATGCATTGTCCTTAAAATAAAATAAAACTCAATACACGCAATGCAGAAGGATAGAAATGCCTTTTGCTGAACTGCTTGAATGGATGAAAACATGTGGGAGCGTTCATCATGTGACTCTATACTATGAAACATCTGCCAAATTGACTAAATGTAATGTAACATAACACTACATACAGCTAAGTCACATCTGTTTCTCTGCTCAGACCACACAGTCTCTCTCCGGTAGACCGCCCCAACCAACGACTGGGTCAGAAAGCAGTGACCTGTGTCAATACCCTGCACTTGATGATGAAACTGTGAGCAAATGATCGGTTTATTACGTATCTGCTATGGTTCTGTTTGTTTTCCTCTGTGGTCATGGAAATGAGCAGGAAAAGGTGCCCTAATGTAACACATCAAGACGTTTTATGTTTAAAGGAACTATTTTGAAGGTGTGAGTTGTCAGATTCGGATTTTTGTTGGCTGCATTAAAATACAATGTGATCTATGTAAATCTCCCTGATTGTTAATGATTTAAAACCTTAGAACCTTAGTCAGTATAAATAAGGTGACTTTTGATACAGATACACATGGAGGGCACTGAGATAAACCAAAAAAATGATCCTCCTCTTTGCCTTCTTCATTCCACCATTTATTTATGTAGATGATGATATTAGCAACTTTAAAGTTTTGGTCAATGCTACTTTCAAAATCATGATTTGAAGAAAGAAACATGTAATGTCGTTTAAATGGCATTATTGATCAAACGTGGTGTTCTTCTATCAGGTTGTGGGGCTCTGCTGCCACCATGTGGTAGAAGGAGGTTACTGCACAGACGACTCTTTATTTAGAAAACACTTGTATCTCTAATGCTATACAGTCTTTTAAATGTATACCGTAGAATATATCTGATGTTTGTGTATAATTGTCTGAACCACAAGCTGGGAACCTTTCTGTGTGGAGTTTGCATGTTCTTCCCGCAACACAACACAGAGCTCATGTATCTGACCTTATTTACACACAATGCTCTCTATACATTATATAAATGAATTTGATCCTTCTGTTTTTGAGTTAATTAATGATAAGAAATTGCCATTAACGATCCATCTCCTATTTCAAATGAGCAAATACTTTGGAATTATACTTATACTTTTTCCACTTGCATAGATGGAACTTATGGAACTTTTTATCTAAGCTAAAAATCCAATGCTGTGATTTAATAATCACAAATTAGGATCTGGTTGCATGTGATCCAGATTGATTTAAGTTGAGTATGAAAAGCATCCTGTGCTGCAGGCCTGAGTTTAATCCTGAGAAAGTTAAGTCTTCAGATGTACCACGCCCCTCTTACATCATGTTTTCCAGACATTGATCTAATTAAATTGAACAAAGCTTTCTCAGCTTACAGTATATCTTATATCACATCTTAGCCCTTAGAAACCCTCCTTCTCTTATGCATGTTGATAAAAAGCTGCTTTCAACTTTGACACCTAGATGCTGTTGGGAGCTTCAGTTGATGAATTCCATCAGAAAAATAAAATTGCTCTGCTTCGGCAGTCATTTCAAACCGTTCCTGTGGCACACATAAAAAGTGTTATAGTTTGTTTTAGCTGTGAGCTCTTGATCTGCCACTGCCCTCTCCTGTCTCTGACTGAAAGGTGAGCACAAACTAGATCCTGCCTCTGCAGCATGGAGAGTCAGTGTAAACCCCAAACTGTTCACTCCATAAGTACACAAATCCCTCCTGTGAGCTCCTGTGGTGCTCAGTTAAGCCAACGTGCATATTGATAGACTGTAGGAGGAAGCTGGAACAAAACATGCAGAGTCCACATACAAGGGCCTCGGCCAGGTTTGGGACCTTGTTTGTGTGTGTGTGACTGTACTAGCTGCCATGTGTCAACCTGCTGTGTCAGCAAAGAGAGGAATCAAGAAATGATGTGGGAAATACTCATCCCACCAGCTAACTGGTCCAGCTAACAAGGCCCAAAACAGATCCATTCTGTCAAAAATCAATTCACATCGACATTGCAGACAGTTTTACACATCTGTGTTGCTAAAATGGGTCTGAACTAATCATTAACCTTCAATAATAGTTTTCTACCCATTGCTATAAAACGTCATAATGAATTGTGAAATGCTAATATGGATTTCAGAATAGATCATTCCTCTATTGAGTTTATATTTATATATATATGAAAATATACACACATCCCAGTTTTTACTTTTAAAGCCATAAACCCATTGTACATCATTATCATATATTTATTGTTGACCTTTGAAGATTGAAGTGAACTGCTTAGCATCAATTGCTCTCATCATAACCACAAGCTTTAAATTTAAACTATTAATATAACTGCACAACTTTACCAAATGCACACCTTAAGAGGTTTGAGGTGTCAGGAGGACAAAACGACTTCAGGAGCCACACGTTTCTGAGCTGCATCATGTTCTAAATGAGTTCTGTTGAATTCAGCTGCTTTTATGGACGGAGGATATACAGAGACTTTAGTTTTATCTTTATTTCATGATTTAATGTTTCAGTTTTTAACAACAATTTCAAGCTTTGCACAACAAGACTCTAACCACAACAGCCGGTGGACTGCTTAATATCTTGGCCACGATGGGAGCATAACATCACATATCAGATCCAGCCAATGACTCTATGACCCATCACAAGATGCCAAAATATCTTTGAGAAGTTCAGCTGGAGATAGTGACACAAAGTGGTGATGACTGATTTTCTCCATGACCAGATAGTCGGGTTTTCTCCCTCTGTGAGTCTTACGTCCTCTCATCAAAGCACATTTAGTAGGCCACCCACCAGAATGAAAACCAGAATCGTGGGTGAAATGAAACCTGGGAGAAAACAGCGACCCCACGATGGTGCTCAACCAACCCTCCAAATGAAGCTAACAACTTTGTAAAGAATAATGTTAATACCAAATGTGTTACAGAATATTTTCCAAACAAAAATAAATTCTTTTGGTCAAGTAAAAAACAAAATGAAAACAATAGTGAACTCTTCATGTTACCAGTCTTGATTTCCTCATTTGTCTTTTTCTACAGTCACTCATTCAGGTTCTTGAGGCTCTAAGGCTGCAAAGGAGGTGTCAAGGCAATATGGTTATGGTGCCCCCGGCGCTCCATGCTGCAGCATGCTGGGAAAAGGACTAGAAGAGTGGGAGGGGCAGAGGCATTGAGCGAGGACCGGGTCCTCAGACAGCAGGTGACGGTGCATCGGGGTCAGGCTCGTTGCTGTAGTTGTTGCTGTAGTGGTTCCCACTGGGAGGGTGATTGGGTAGGATGTCCAGTTCATCCACCTGTGGGCCCGGGTGCATCACCACCAGCTGGTCCTGGGGGATGTCTGCAGCTGCGGCGGCCAGGTTGGTGATGGACTTGGATTTAACGCACTGGAAGTCCACATGACGGCTTTTGCCCTCCTCCTTTTCCCAGGACATGCGTATGAAGGGCCTCTGGACATAATTGTAAATAACCTCTGGACGCCCTCCCGGTCGCTTCTTGACTTTCTCCTTATACGTGGGGTAACCTGTTAAAAAGAGACAAGAGCTTAAGCTGCAAACACTTTATTAGAGGCTGATGCAGCACGGTTAAACTCCTGTCAAACCTCCTCAATGATCCATTTTAAAAATGATGTCTCTGTCCAACAAATCTCATAACTGATGACTTTACTTGTGGTGTTATAACAACAAAAAAAAAAGACGGCACTAAATATTCCAGGTGTAATTACAGAAGTATGAAAACTATGCTGAGTCACACAAAGCCTGCATGCCTTCCATTTTCAAGCTACGTCACACAGCCGACACACGGAAGGCTGAACACAGCTCGCTGTGCTTTAGGTTCTTTCTCTCTTTTTTAATTAGCTGCTGTGTGTTCTTAAGAAAAGCCATCAAATGCGTCTTGCTGTTTTTCCCTGAAGTTCAAAGCTGGCATGTTTACATACTGGTTGTAGTCTCCAGCCCGTTTACATCATGCTAACCTCTGTCCCAATGAAAACTTAGCACCACGCTGCTTTACGAACATGGGATTTAGAACATTTATGACGGCTAATCATACCTTCAATGCCCAGCCTTATTTTCTTCAATCCTCGCTCCTTTAAAACTGATTTGGCAACATCTCTGTTCTCGATGTACTTGAAAAATCTATACAGTTTTGTGCTGTAAATGACTGAAATGAGAACAGAAACATGATTGTTACAAAATTAAATCAAACATCTGGACAGCATGCAGACATCCGTGTGTGTCTGGACAGGCACTCACTCTGTGAATACTCTTCTCCCATTTGTGGTGGATACTCTTCATCCCAGTCCACCACATCGTCATCAGTTAGGACTACGATGTGACATTCCCTCTCTCCGCTCTGAGCACTGGCGACCATCAGAGGCAGAACCATTTCTTCCAGATAAAACTCAAACTGCCGTCGCGCTCCGTCGTTGGACAGCTCGTGCATCAGGGCACCTGTTCGCCAAAGCAAATGTGATCAGATTAACTTTTAGATCAGATCGTGCAGTGAGGTTTAAATCTCTAACGATAAAGAGCCAATGACGTAATAATTTCTTTTTGACTGATTTCAATTCACTATATTTTTTGCGTAAGCACAGCGATGATTCAAATACGAGTACAAAATGGAAACACATCTCCTGAGTGCGTCACCAGAGGCAGCACTCAGCCTGCAGGGGTCTGATGACAGCCACCTCAATTGAGAGGAATTTAGCTTGAATGGGCAGAAAGAGCCCAGTAATCCTCCGGAGCATAAACCTGTCATGTATTAGAAGTTTCTGGAACAGCGGAGTAGCCGGCTCCTGTCTAACAAGTTTTAAATCGCCATGGGACTGAGGGGAGGGTGGGGGGGGGGGGGGATATGGTGTAAGCTCCTGCTCCCTAATCCACATCTTTTAGTGTGACTTGAACATACAGCCCACTGATGGAAAATCTTACAGTCAGATGAGCAAACATTTGGGTCGTTTGGGCCACGGTCATCTGTACCGGTGAACATAAGGAATGCTAAAGCAGCTGTGAAACAGGATGGTGGTAGCTTCAAAAGTGACACAAGCACCGTCGTCCTGACTTGGTCAGGGTTACAGAACCTGTTTCGGGCTGGTTCATGTACTCACTGAGGTCTCTGCATTTGATGGTGCTATAGTCGAAGGAGATGCATAGATAGTCACACGCCTCCCGCAATTCAGGGATGGAGATTCCATCTGGACAACGGATTATCCCGGATTTGTAGTAATCCTGTCAATTAGATAAAAATTACACAGGACAGTCATTTCAAACTGTGCCGATCCACAAACTATTAAAATTCAAAGAAGAAAAAAGAAAAATTATAAATAAAACGAGCCAAAAGAGGACTAACAGTATTCATTTTTGGTTGATTATATTCTCAACATAAAAGAGGGTTTAGAACTTCAGTTAATTACACTCACTAATTGCAGTCAAACTGTTATTGGGCGGGTTCTTTGCCACCAGAGGAAAACATGAAGACTCAGCAGATGAGCATTTCCAGCAGTTAATGAGGTATGACAGGCAATTACTATGAGGCTCTTAAAGAAAAATCTAATGTTTCATAAAATTTCTTCTTTTTTTTATTTATTAATTGACTCCATATTACCTTAATCCAAATGACATTGGTTTCTATTCAGACGAATGTGCAAAGACTGAAAGCGTTGGTGCTTATGAAGGGATTTTTTAAATTGCAGAGTTGGTTTTTGAAGCATTTAGGATGACCATAAGTGGATCTAATCTGGCTTTTAAGAAGTCATTAAGACCAGCCTGCTCAGAAAAAGCATTGGAGAAAATGTCAAGAGGAGGAACGAACCAGAATTGCTCGGAAAACCGTCGAGCTGATGCCTTCAGCCACCTCAAACTCTCCTTTGTCGTTGGGCCGGGTGAAATTGTGTTCTCTTCCAGAGCCAAACATTCTAAAAATAGGGAAACATTGGTTTATTCACTCAATTAAGAACAAACAAAAAAGATAACTTCCAGTGAAAAAATTAAAAAGGTGGTTTGGACAGACCAAATTATTCTAAATGCACATATGACTGACTCTGTAAATCAACAATGTTCAATATTATAACAAACTGTCATTACTGTGACTGCAAAATAAAAGATCTGCGATGATACTGATCAAAGTGTTCTTTACCTTCCCAACATGGTGTTGGGCTGTGCAGTGAAGATGGAAGGATCTACTACGAAGCGTGTATTGTCCACAATTAGAGTAACTCTCTCGGAGGTCCTGATGTTTCGGTTTCCAACAGTGGCACTGGCACCGCCTTCTTTTGGATTCTCGTAGACGAAAACCATTTCTCCAACTCCCAGGCTTTTGAAGGTGCCTTCAGTACTGGACAAGCTACTATTACGACTGCTCACCACACCGCTACTGCTGGAACCACTGGGGGAAACTCTCTGAGGCCTCGGACTACTGGGCCTGGATGATGGGCCACCATCTCGCTCCCGTTCTGCACACATGCACAAACACACAGTTTTCCTTTTTTTCTTAGGTGACAAATGAACATCCATTTCCATAACTGAAAAAGGTAATATTCTTATAAGAGGTGCTTAACTTTTCAGTTTAGGATGCATTACAAATAAACATAATAAGTTATTGATCAGACTGGAATGCGTCCCACTCAGAGTGTTTCATATGTAGACAGTAAAACCAGCAGCTGTGTCCCCATAAGCAGCTGGATTACGACTGCATCGATCAATTCCCCGTGAACATGATGAGACTGATAAGCATGTCTGAGGTTAACGTTGTGGTCGGCTGTCCACATTTGATGCTAGAGTGCTAGAACTTCAACGTGACATGTATTCTTTCCATGCGTGCTCACCACTGTTGTACTGGCGGGTGGGTGAGGTGACGTTCCGAATACAGGGGGTGAGCTGGCCCTCTCTCTCGTGTGAGGAGTCCCTGGAGCGATCGCTGGAACGACGGCGGTCACGTGAGCGGTCACAGCCCCCACTGGCACCATGCAGGCTCATCTCTCTGTGTTCTGCCTCCACTCGAGAAGCTCTGGGCTGACTGCTGTTTTTCAAGACAAAAACATGGGTGATGATTCTCTCTCTCTGTCTCTCTCTAAGAGCCCGAGGATATTTTCATGTCAGTGACGTAAAAGTGACAGGCAATCATTGAGCCTACCAGAACAAGGCATTGCGTTGTTGAAACACACTGACTTGATGAAAAGGTGTCAAACATCATTGTAATTTAGACAATATGTTCCCCGTGCAAACTGTGCAAGATGCCTTGAAAACTGGTTCCAACCTAACCCAACTAGACCACATTCTGGAAAGTTCCAGTAGCAGCATGACACTCAAACTTTCAGCCCAGTGTTGTTGACATCGCCTTGAATTCCTGATCTACCAGTGAAAGAAATTTGTTTTTCTAATGCTTGCATGATTAAAAAAAGGTGAGTAAACACAGTGTGAAAGAAGTAATGTTTATCAAGAGAAAAACACCAGTGTACAAGTTCTACCTGTTTTAATTACTTTTCTAAATAAATCAACTATGATGATAAGTACTTCAGATTTCAGAGAATAAAAGAAAGAGGAATAAATGATGCAATAACTGTGTGTTTTTGCCACTGAATGCACTTTTTAAAATACATGTAATGAAGTGTATCCCACTGAAATACAATTGAAACTAAATGTCTCAACATCTGATAAGCGAACCGCGAATAGTTAGTTTGTCAGTTGTTTCAGGCAGAGATGTAACAGGTCAACTGGAAAGAGTCCAATACCAATGTCAGTCAATACATACATTTCTCTCCCATTCATGTATCCTAGTATCAAAGACAGTAGCACTGTGAATGTGGATGCTAAATTTCACTTTGGAAGTGAGACTGCTGAGTCACTCTTAGACACAGACCATTATAGTGGTTGAGGTGTGAGAAATATACCCTTTCTACTCCATCATGAAACGCAACAAGAAGTGCCATCATAAGAAAGAGAACTGCACATTAGATTAGGAATATCAATCTCTTTAAACAGAATATGTTATAAAAACAAAACTAAATGCAAATGTCATGGCCTCACAGGATGTGAATGAGATGTCATTATACTCTAAATAACAAGTAATTAATATAGTTTGTTTCAGTACTACTATAGCATTATAGAAGGTTTCATAACAATCATAGCACAGGTGAAATATGGCGTCTTTGACCAAAGCAGTAAAGTCAAAACCAGCGGACCTCTGTTTTCCAGCACATACAATGCAGCATTGTCCTACCTCCCTAGGCAGTTTCACAGTCATTCACACTTTGAACAGTGTGACCGAAACTCAGCCTTTTAGACAGTCAACATTTGAGAATGATTCCAACAACACTCACATTTGCCAGGGGTCCAGAATGTAATCCCACTCTTCCCACTTGTAAACTAACACTGCCCTGAATCTAGTTAAGAAATTAAGAAGACTTTCAGATGAGAGGTGAAATGTCTTCAAGATCCAAGAAGTCCAAAACCTTTTACAAAAGCTCTTAGGAATAATCAGTTTCCCAAAACTGCAAATACTAAACAACTGCATAAAACAACAGAAATATTTCCATTTCAGTTCCCAGTTGTTATTGTAATGTTTACCATCACTTAGATTTTTTTCCCCCTATTAAATACACCACAATGAGTATGTGATAAGACATAAAGTCTCATTTGATGAACATGTCAGCAAATATCTCTTCACAGAGATAATAAAAAACATTTTTTTCACAAATTCTCATCATAACACAATCTGTTATTTCCTAGAGGTAAAAAACATTCTCAATATAAATCGGTGTCTCTAAACTGGGACAATAGAAGGGGGTGCTAAAAGCTAATCTGACTGCTCTCCAACCCAGCACAAAGTCAGTGCCTCAGACAGTGGTTGACAATAAATTTCAGGTATAATCTCCCCTTAAAATACTCCACATTTTTATCTGGCTCACCTCGAATGCTTGCAGAGTTTACGAGGCCGGCTGGTTACTTTTTGTTCCCAATTTTCGGTGTCACTGGAGTTACTGTCATATGATGGCAGGCGTGCTGCCATCACCCGTATATGGGGGACTCCGGTCTGGATCTTTCACCGTGCATTATCTGGTCAGCAGTAAAAGGCGAAATCAACAACTTAGTTCGACCCCTGGGCAGCCCCTGAGAAAACGTGGACAACCTTACTAAATGTGTAGCTGACTAAGTGTACCGTACTGAAAAAACAAGCCAACTAAAACGACTGTGAAATATAAAAAATAAGACTACGAATAATCTCTGAGCAAATTGTAATCGAATGGAGTCTGCCCATGATAGGGCTAAATACTTTGCTATGTTAGCATACTTAGCTTGCTAGTATTAGCTATTATAGCTAGCGGTACATTATAACACTATAAACCATTTTTTCTTTAACGACAGTGATGACATATGAGTTTATCAAAAAGCGAAGGCTTCAACCATTTAATAAATTAGGCAGACAATGTAAAATATTAAGAGTAGCAACCAAGCTTACTACGTTTTCCGTTGTAATCCAAATCGCTAACCAGCCATCTCCTTTCAAAACACTCACCCCGATGACGTCAAACACGAAAACCTTTGACGTACTGACGCACTCGAAAGCTGCAAAGCTGTTATAACAGGTTAGTCATCGTTGCTGCTCTGAAAAGTTTATTATTATTTTTAAATTGAATATTTAAACTAAATCTATTTCACCAGAACATATGGATAAACGTAATCTGATAGAATGAATTTTCCTTTTTTTCCTTAAAAGGAAATGAAGCCATGACGACCTGCAGTTGATCTCGCGATGTTTTCCGTGTTTTCTTTCGCACAACGTGCAAGCTTAAACACTTATGATAGAATAATATCATGCCAATAATACAAGAAAAACAATAAATGGGTTGATATAACTTGTATTCTATAGCACTCAAGCAGACAAACATATTATTTTTAAAGTTTTTAATTTTCTTAAAATCTAAGAACCTAATAGAATAAATAACCATCTTGGAAAGTTTACACAATGGTATAAAACACATTACACAATATCAATATAAAATCTGATTTACAAAGAAAACTAAGTAATTCAGTGTTTTATTAAACAGTCACAAAAAAAAGTTTCAAATCCTGTCACAATTTGTGAAACTCTTTATCATGGGAGAACCAGCTTTAGTAAATATCAGAAGCTTATTGATACAATTAATATGATGTAGATTAACTCATATACACGAACACTAATAGCAATGGCCAGTGTGATGACTGACTTGACACTACAATTTAATTTGATTAGATGTCAAGCGAATGGGCTGCAGGGTCCTAAAATGGCGAATGAATCAGGGCAAGCTTCGAGGACATCCACAAGGGCAGAGTAGAGCAGCAACCAGGCAGTCAGAGAAAAAGGACAGGTTAACAAAGAAGTAAGAGCAGTACATAAAACAGTAGTAGCTAGACTCACTGACATCACTGACATCAAAGTAAAAATGTTGTTACAATTATTGAGTCACAGTGCAAAAAAATCTCACTAAAGGGTGTGAATGAGTTAATATTGAATTTGAATTTGAATTTGTGGCAGTGAGAGACTATAACTAATATTAAATATAATCTATCTAAATTTGATAGAAGTCAAATAACATTTGTGAACAAGTGAAAATATAAAAATGCCAATTTGTGACTTTGTATGATGTCTCCTTTGTCTTCAAACAGCCTTAACAACAACAGATTTAAGGGAGAAAACATGAAAATATAATGTCTATAGTTCAAGAAAGATAGAACCTTTGATATAATTTCCCCCCTTTTTTAATTAATAGGTCTGACTATTATAATCATCACAATTCTTACATATAAACTTGAATTTTACATTAAAAAGATTGTGAGTCATTCTTTTTTGTTGTGTTTATAGCAAGCGAGATCTTAACATCAAACCAGAAACTGAGTCCCAGTAAGTATCCCAATCAATAAAGACATTTATGTTTGATGAGACATCGTTTAAATGATTCTTTGCTCAGAGTAAAAAAAACAGATCGAAGTGGTTGTGTAGTGGGGCTTTAGTCAAATTTGTTGGAGAAATGTTAAAGAATATACAACAGCTCACCTCTCTAAGAGAGTATGTTATTGTCAATCAACAAATAAATTACATTTCCAACAAGTCTTGACATCAGTTACATGAAAAGATTCTATTAATCTGATGTGACATGAAAGATTGAAAAAATTAGTAAGACTGGCTGTCTGTTGGTTCACACTTCACAATACAATACTATTCAATGGAAAAAGTGTAGTACATAGTGTGGAGAGGGACATTTTTCTCACCTGTTTTGCCTGAGATAACTTTAAATGTTGCAAAGTTGTTGCTGGATAATGTAAGAAAATGTAAACAAACAATATGAAATAAAGTGAAATAAATAAATACATAAATAAATATATATATAAAGAAATAAAGAAATACATACATAAATAACAGTACCATAAAAACAGAAAAGCTTAAATTGAAATAATTTAGATATTTATACAAGCAAGTTATAAATACATAGAAAAGTGCATTTCAATGGATTTTCTTAAAAAATTACACACATCATGAAAAATGAATAACGAAAAAAGTTTAAATAAAAAATATGAACAAATTGATAGAGTGGACAGACAAACTTTTTTTTCACACATTACAAGTGTGGAAATAAAACAACTTAGCATTAGATTCTTTGGTAAGCTTTAAGGAACTTTAAGGAACTTAACTTTTTAACTTGTGTTTGGCCCCAAAACATTTTTAGGCAAAAGATTTTTCAAATCTCCAGGCAGCTGAGGTTTGGAACTAGAAACAACAATTTTCTTTAACTTCTCCTGAAGCCAGTCTTGTCTGTCTCCCACTTGTTTGTGTTCCCGGACATTGTGCATAAGCTGTACCTCACTGATGGATCTCTTTCTGTAGTAATAGAAAAATATCATATTTCAATCCAGCAACAGTTAAACAATTATTTTAACCGTTCTTTCTAGAAGTTTTGCTCTTCGATTCAAAGAAATTTGAAGGGGCATCATGAAGTCTTGGACTAACTGTGGAACTTACCTCAGTGGGTTTGCCTCTGTGAAGATAGTGACCAGAAACATTAGGAGGACCACTGCTTCCCAGTATCTTACTGAAAACATGCTGATTAACTGAAGCAAAAAAACAAAGCAGTGGTAGATTAGAACAGTTATTTCCCCTGCCTCTCCCAATGTAACAACTGATACTTTACAATAACAATTCAATTGTGGAATATCAGAATGAATAACAATCCAAAATGAGAAAATCTCATACCTGTGTTTTTTGTCCTTAGATCCACAAAAAATTGGGCAGGTCCAGAACAGAGACCTTTTGGAGTATGGTTACAGATGTCAAAGTTGCTGATCCTTCTTTCGTGTGAAGAAGACTCTCTCCCTTATATACAGGGTAGCCCTCCCCTGGTCATCAATAAGCAAATTTCACAGTTGATGTTGATGTCACTTTTCCAATGCATCAATGGGAGCAGGCATCTGCATGACACCACCTCCACCACAATTCACCACTAACTCTTCTTTCAACACCTCTGCAAAAGGCCGGGTTTGTAACACTGTTTTTGAACTTGCTCCATTTCCAACCATTATGCACTATAACAAGACTTTTGTTATAACATTTAAGTGTATCATCCGACACACTTTATGATACTTGATGTTGTTATTGGTTACTGTATTTTTAATTGGGTCTGCCTCATGCAGTGGGACTGCAGTGAAAACATATACTCTTTGAAATGGCAATGCCTGTCAAGCTTAATTTATTAGCAATGCAATTTATTTTATGGTTCATCTCATGTAAGCATTTAAGGGTCAGCAAGAAGTGCATCTGGACCATCCCCAAGAGAATGAAGCAAAGACCCTCATCCAGCGCTGGTTGATAGTGAAGGCTTAGAGGGGACTGCCACCAGGACTTTGAAATACTGTTCATGTAGCCTGCATTACTTCTTTGTATGAAACTCTTCTTCTGCACCTTGATTTTTCATTGAGCCCAGTAGAACATAAAATTCCACTGGGGTTATGACTTCTATCAAAGTCATGACAAAACTAATTCTTCTTAACACAATAAAGGTTTAAATAGTATCAGTTTTTGCTTCTTCAACTGTATATGGTGCATCTGCTTGAAGATAATGACTCGTGAGATTGAATTTGTAAAAATTCCCCACTTTGAGGAAAGTAAAAGCCTGAGCCAGCACCGTGATTCTCACAAAACTCCTGTCTGTTTCACTTGTGACACCCCATGATAACCGGGCATTTGAAAAACATACTGTTAACCTCCCGTGAAATGCGTAGCATCATATTTAAGTTATGGATGAGTTGTGGATGACCTTGTCACAGAGTCACAAGGTGCATTAGGTAACCATGAAAGACGTTTTCTAAATGTGGGAAAGGAATGGCTATGCCATGACAGAAGGAGTAGGTGCCACAGTAAGACCTATATCCCTCTGTCATTTAAGTCCTCAGCATGATGCCATCGAGTTACAATCTCACACACTTTTATACCAGCGTGATATACTTAACTGTAGTTTCAAGCGTTCATTCTATCACCCTTGATTTTAAAAACTCTACAACAGTTCATCATTTTTATAACGTGGCAGTTACAACCTATGTAAAGGTCATGTGTATGTTTGCTTTTACAGCTCTGCTTGGACAGCTCCTGTGTTAAACCCTCATCACAATGAAATGTACCGCAGAAGTCTGTGAAATTACTGCTACAGATCAGTCTAGCGTGACGAAACTCATCCTCCTCTGAGCGAAACAGTCTGAAAGTACATGTAGGGCCATTCAGATGAGATGTGGCTTTGTCAGGCCTCTCAGCCATGAACATAAACAGCAGTCGCCACCACCTGTGCTTTCAACTAGGCTAGATTTTTTGCACACGTGTAGTATACTCAACCAAGTTGTTCTCATTACCTCATGCGCTCACAATGTGAACCATCTCAGTTATGATATGCTGCTAGTGTGCAAGAGGACTTGTCAGGGATTGATGGGAAGAATTGCATGTAAATCATTAACTTGGGTCACCCCCATGTCACAAAGAAAGTAACGCATATAAAGTGACTCATATCTTTGAACTAAATTTAAGTTTGCTTTCTGTAAATAGGTTGCCATAGAGCATATTTAGGTCTACAAAGAATTTTTAATTTACTTTTTTGTTTTGTCACCCTGTAATTCCATGTGAAATGACTTTATTCCAGCGGTAAAGGTATGTTTTCTGGTTGCATCTATGATGTATTCGCAATGAGACACCATGATTTCTCTGGAATCTGCATTGTGTGTTTGAAGGTATGGAAGGACCTTGGGACCATATAACGCTTTCCCTGAAATCTATAAATGGAGTTACTTTTTTCATGAAATGAGGTCACCTCAGCTGAAGATATCATATAACAAGAAAAATATTCATTTAGGCGGTTGACATCATCCCACATTAGCTGGTGATTGACATAGTAAAACATATTGAAATGATATCAACTGGATAAATGTTAACGCTTACGCTGAGAGCAGGAAGAGCCCAGTGCAGCAGTGCATCTTCTACATTTACTGTCCATCTAGTCTTCATGAAGCTACACAAGATCTGATTTGCCAAAACAAATGCTCTAATTACTTTTTGAACAACTTTGCAGGGACGTGCTACTCATGTGAGTGCCACTATATGGGGAACACCAACTTGCACATCAATCTAGAACACATTTTCGCAGAGTACATCTGACCAGTTGGCACAGGTGCTACTGGTGTCATGTTAGTATTCAGTATATCCTCACTGTCTTCATACCGAGCTTTGAATCTAGAGAGGAAGAGCCTGCTGAAACTACCATATGCTTTAGCTACATTTGATTATTATTTGACTAAAATCAGGTTAATTTTGTTTTGTAATTCAGTGCCTAAATTTACTGACTTTTGGGGATTAAACAGTTCTGTTTTTTCCTGGTTCCTGTGGCTTTCATAACACCAAGCAAATTTAGTTCTGGTTTAAATAATGGTTCGATGCTGACTGCAGTGTTATATATACACAATGCTGCAGGGTACATTTTGAAATGATTCAGTCTCCTGGTATTGAGTATTTTGACACTGGCTTGGCTAAATGTACTACCACAACATCATTATGGAAAAACCTTGTAAATGCTGATGAAAGGTTGTCCATAAAAACAACACCTGCTAGGAGAAAGGATTGTCAATGAAGCAGGTGGTTTATTGTGCTTATATGAGATATAAAAACTACCAATTATGGCTCGTCTACCAGAAAAAAAAAGCACCTCAAAGTATGTCATCCTCTGGGGAGCTCCTTAGTCCCCATAACTCATAGGGCATTACAGAACTGTTTGTTCCCCATGTTCCTCCTGTCATCACAGCCAAACTGTGAAACAAGGAGCTTTCTCGGGTTGCTAACTAGTATGGGAAAAAAATCACCAGAATGTTATATAACAATAAAGCCATAATTATATCCTTTTAAAAAAACTATACATGCACTTTTCAGAGTTTACAAAAACTGTTCTGTTCCTTTGGACCGTTTTTCTTTAATAAAACAACTGTTTAGCAGCTCATTGATCATCAGAGGTCTTCCACTAGCACACGAGGGACCATTTGCGATGTAACTTTGGGGTGGTTAGTCCAGATGGGACCAAATTTATGATGACTTGTTTGGTAAGTAACTGCAAAATAAGCAAACAGTATTTCAGGAAAAAGTTGTCCAGCCTCCATCTAAACTGCTCTTAATGTTTAAAAAGATTAAACAAAAGGAGACATATCAACAGAGAGTGTTGCGCAGGTTACTTTGAGCTTCTACTAAATAAGGCAAATGCAAATAAATCTTGACCCATTATGAACTGTTGCATCTCCGAAAATCCTAAGAATGAGCCTAATGCAAAATTATTTAAAGGACATTCCCAAAGTTTTCAATAAAACAGTTTAACTGTAGAATCAGTCAGTAAAGGACGGTTTTTGGTGGAGGTAAGCTTCTTAAAGATTTTCACACATGCAGCCCAGCAAGAACAAAATTAATTAGAATGTTACACTATTGTACATGAAACACATTCAGACGAGTCACCTTGGAAACAATAGCAGCAGGTTGTTGTTCAGTCAGGTACTCTGTAAGCTCGTTTTCACCACAACGCCACCTTAATCTGTTAGTAATAGCGTAATGCCTTTCTTGAGTATGGCACACTAACATGAGAAAATCAGTATATGCATCAAACAAAACACATTGCATCACATCACTGTGCTTTCTCTGCAAACTACACTAAAAACATTTGTCTTTTTACACAGTTGCTGTTTATGGATACAGACTTTGTCCACAAGGGGTCACTGTGGTCCAGCAGGATAGTTGGATGTTGTTCAAATGTTTAGCTCTAATTATTGGAATCATAATCAGTCATGAACAACAATGAATAGAAAGTGCTAAATATACTACAACCATTGATACTACCAATAATGATAGCAATTAAAAAAAAAGAAGAGTCAGATCGTCCTCTGAAAATTAGAATTCAAAATAAGATACTTGTCAACTTGTATGAAAAGACTTCCCAGTCCAGGAGAATCTGAGCATCAGCTGAAAGGTTGAATTAGGTTTTTTGAGAAGGATATTGACACGAAAGCAAGGGGCAGCTGTGATTTGTGGCTCAGGGTTAACAGCGGTTGCCTGCCAAAGGGCAGGTCGGTGGATTGTTCCCTGGCTGCGTGTCGAGGCGTCTTTGGGCAGGACATTGAGGCCTCAGTTGCCTGCAATGCAGCATCAAATGGGAGGTTCTGTGTCCCAGTTGTGCTGGTCCCAAGCCTGGATAAATGTGAGACTATCCGGCGTAAAAACTTCAGCCAAAGCAAGCTGTGGTGAGAGGAAAAGCCAAAAGGTAAAAACAGCAGCCGAAACAGCCATAAAAGCGTGTCAGGCCCATGATTGCCAAATGAGTTTGTGATTAAAAACTTCAACAGGGGTTGGCATAAATGAAGTAATGTCCTTTTTTTGTGTGCATAAATAGCTTTTTTTTGTGTCTATTTCATTTGCCATTTTAAATATAAAGATTTTTTTTCTTTTTGGCCCATAAAACAGGATAACCATCCATTTTCTATATCCACTTAATCCAATTCATGGTTGTGGGGTTGCTGGAGCTAATCACAGATGTAAACCCTGGACAGGTTTCTAGTCCATCGCACAGCAGAATTTTTACTAATTCAAATCTTTAAAATAATTGGATTTATGGAAATCTCATTTTCCCCTTTTTTTAAAGTTATTTCGGTTTAATCATTAAAATCTACTTTTTACTTTTTTGTAGAAAACAAATTCCGGTTTGGACTAAAATACAACTTTACATGGCAACCACAGGCTAGAGAGCTCAATTCTCCATGTTACTATGGTAACGCC